TTCCCACCTTTTCCAGGCATCTCCTCCACCAAGGAACATCCCCAAATCCAAACCAGCCTCCACAGAAAAGGTGCTGGTGCTGCACTGACTCTGGTGGCAAAGAGATGGGGTTTGGTGGGTCCCTCCTTTCCTTCCCCCTTCCAGGCCTGGCCCAGGAACTACAAAAGGCCGAATGAATCCCTGGTGGAGCTCCGTGGACTGCCTTGGAATTCTATTACACCAAACAAGCAAATTGGCTGTGAGTGTTCAGGTCTGCAGCAAACCAGCTGTGGTTACACAGGCGGCTTCCTCCGAGATTTCTGTTTAAACATCAGCGTTTGCTCGTTTTTAGCTGGGTGAAATATTCCCCCTTTCCCTTCGGAAGAAGTCAGGAGGGATTCGGGTTGGAGGAGAGGGCTCTGCCAGCACAGAGGATCCTGTCACACAGGATCTCATTATCTACCTGGAAAAATCCAGATTACTGTATTTGTGTCTCAGGGAATCATCTGCAGGCTTTTAGTGCTGGTGCCGCTACGGAGGTTTAATTTATCATTTATTTTAATGTATTTTAGTTTTAGAAAACTTGACACTGTTTATATCCAAAGATATCGTCTGTGAAGCAGCAGTGCCAGGGAAGTTCAGCAAGAGAAAGGGGATTGCTGTGTTGTATTTCTTATTTCACCTTCACCTTTACACTTTAAAGTGCTTTAGGGAGGAATATATAATATATATAATTTATTGATGGAGGCAAAAACAGAGGGACAATGGGAAGAGCTTGCTGGGGACCAGGACAGGCAGGAAGTGAGGCTGGATTAATTAAAGCAGAAAACCACAGGAAGGAGTTAAGAACATCCCTGAGTGTCACAGATGGAGGTGGATGTAGGTGTGGTGGATGTGGATGTGCTTCAGTGTATTGCAAAATCGGGATTAAGAGCAAGGACTCTGCTTTATGAGCTGGTCCTGGCAGACAGTGACAAACTCCCGTGCACAGGAAGGATGAACGTCCTGCCTCGCGTTCCCAGGGTAGCCATTATTTTATGGAGTGTGATTCACAAAACCAGGGAGGCTGGAGGGATCACAACACAAAACACATGTCCCAGAAACCCAGGATGGGAAAGCAAACAGCAATTACGGGACCATCTGTGCTGCGGGGACGGGGCTGCGGCGACCCACCGAGGGGTGTTGGGCTGGGGGCAGTGCCTGAGCTGTGCTCGGCTTGGGAAAATCCCTGGGAACAAACCCCTGGCTGCGTGTACGACTCCAGGCACTGACTTCTCTCCTCGTGCGGGATTAACACAGGAAAACCCTAATAAGAAATCCCGAAGGCACCCGCTCGGCCAATCCGCATTTCCATAGGAAACAGCTGCATCAGCAGGAAATCTCCATCCCTTGTTCGTGTCCCTCAGGTGGGCGGGAGCTCCTGCCAGCACACGGACACGGGGATTGGGACATTCCTTGGTGGAGAGAATGTGTCTGCTCCTCCACGCTCCTGCCAGCACCGGACACAGGGACAGGGACACTCAGGTGTCCCAGGTGAAATCCCAGCTTAGGAGTCAAGTAGCCACAGAGCATCCAAATCCATCCCCCCCCCTGCACTGGGAGTGAAGGGGCACAGCCACCACAGGCACTGAAAGCCCCTCAGCACCCCCGGAGTCTCCAGGTGAGAAAGTTGGTCCAGAGTTGCACCCATTCCTAATGTAGTTATTTTTCCATGTGAAAAGGAAATGTCCCTGCTGGATGCTTTACCCTCACCTTGGCCCCAAGCTCCCAAAGATGCCCAGCACCCTGAGGCCCACCCAGAGTCCCACTTGAGTATGTTTTCAGCCCAGAGGGTTGTTTTTCACTCCTTATTTTCAGCAACACAAGGAGGGAATAACATCTCCATGGGCTAATCAAGGAAAAGCTCCAAAATCCTCATTAAAACAATGGCAACATCTCAGTGTCGGGGGAAAATACACACACACACATCATCTGTTAACCTCTGCCTAATCTCAGGGCTTGGGGCTGAGTTTGAAGCTGCTGCACCTCCATCCTTCACTGGCCCTGCATCAGGCACCTGGAGGGAATCTTTGGAGTTTCCTTGTGCAAATCTCCCTCTTAGGGACGTGGTTAAAGGTGGCCTTGGCAGTGCCAGGGGAACAGTTGGACTCTATGGTCTTAAAGGTCTTTCCAACCTAAACGATTCCATGATTGTATGATAATCCTATTAGCATTAACATGGGCTGTGTGGCTAAATCCTCACATTCTGCACAGAAATGGAATCCCGGAGGGGCTGGCTTAAAATGACAAATACTGGGAAAGGGAGAGGCGGGAGCAGAGGCAGGTTTGTCCGGGGATGGTGGCTCCTTGTGGGAAGGAAATCAGGCATTGCTCAGGGATCTGGAGCTGCTGGGGAGACTTGTCTGGGCTGGGGTTGGAGGCACATCTGGAGGGTGTGCAATGAACTGGGGCAAACGCTGCAGCCCGGGTGGGCAGCACCTCCTTCACCTCCCTTCCCAAAGCTTTTCTTATTCTTGTTTGATTACAATGAGAGAGGAAAAGGAAAGGGGAAAAGGAAGGGTCCGTGCCCCATTTCCTCCAGCCTTTGAAGCAGAGGGTGGTTTTTTCGGGACATGGGCTCCACGGGGCCGGCAGGGGATGGATCATGGAGCAAATGCCGGCACTGTGGGGTGAGCACGGGGAACCCTGGCACGGACACACCACGGCAGGGGAGGACCAGCCATTCCCCAAAAGCTGGAAAACAGGCAGAGCCACCATGACTAGCGATGCTGAGGTCCCACCCATGTGTCTGATGGCAGGGTCTTCCCGTGGGATGGGCTGAGGGATGTCAAGGGTGCAGGACGATGGGGGAGCTGCCGCAGGGCAGGATTTGTGCCCTGTGGCCACAGCCCTGGGCTCAGCCAGAGGCTTATCCCAGCGCCCTGGCTGCTCTAGCCCTTGCAAAAATAGTCATTAACCCCAATATCCTCATTAAATACTCACGTGAGGACTTGCACTCCACCAAAGTATTCCCGCTCTTCTGAGACGTGAAGGTACCCGGAGTAAAGGGAACTTTAATTCAGGAGATCCTGGATAATACTGATCACTCTTGACCTCACATTTAATGCCTGTTTATTCCTCCCAAGTGTCCAAGAAGTGAACTGGTGGCAGAGTCTTGCTTCTGTCCCAGCTCAGAAACCCCCACAGGGCTCACACTCAGCCTGAAAACCAACCCGACTTAAGCAAGGTGGGTTGTTCCCACTGTTTGGACAGAGCCTTGGATCAAACCCCATGTATTCTGCTATTGCTATTCATTATTCCCTCCAGTGGTACCCTGGATGTTTGAGCTGGGATCTGCCTAATCCCGTAAAGCTCGGCTTCTCCTCGTGCCAGAATGGGGAACAAAGTCATAATTCTCCTTCCGCAGCCTCCCTGGCTGTTGCCATGGGAATGATGCAAAGTTCCCCATTCCCAGGGCTGCTCTCCTGCCAGTGCAGGTAGGAGAAGCCACTTTCCCAAGGGAAGAGTGCCCTGGATTGAGTGCTGTGCTTTGACAGCCAGGGAGGTTCTGGATCACTCCATCAAAGGGACAGTGCTGTGCTCACAGGGGACCTCGTAGACCCCAGCCTGTCTTGGGCAGGATCTAGTGGAGACTTTGGAAGTACAAAAATCCCCTCCAAAATAACCCCTGGATGCGCTGAGGATGCATTTGGGTGTGAGGGGCTGGTGGGGCCACACTCTCCCATTGCTGTGGTCAGGGATTGCCCCAACCCTGCTTTATCCCCCCAAAAAGGGGGGAATCAGGGCACTGGCCTGCTTGGGATGCTGGTGCAGGTTCTGGCCAGCCCCCATCTCATAAAAGCATCTTTTCAAGCTCATTTCAGGAAAAGTTGCTAAAAAGTGTCACTTATGGTGTGAAGTTCCATTTTCCCTGGAGGAATTCGGACCTGGATGAACTTTCTAAGCTAAAATGGGGAACAAGACAGGTCCTAATGGGAGCCTCGTCCAAACCTGGGGAGATAAAACTGATTAAAAGTCACCCCCTTTTTCTTTCCCCCCACTTGTTTGCCTTCTAGAAACCCCAATAAAACCAAGGCCCTAAATCCATAGATGGCTCTTTCCTTCCTCCTCTCCTCAAGGCTTCAAACCTTAACCTGAAAAACCCATCAGTGCATGTTTACCCCTATCCTTTTCCCTAAATTTGGGTCTGAACATGTGGATCATCTCTGTACCAAACCTCACCGTGTTGTTCCCCAGTGTGTCAAAGCCTGTGCAGCCTTGGACCATCCGGATCGGTGCCTCCCCACTCATTAGTGAGGGTTGGTGGCGCCCAAGGAGATCCTTCCTGCTGCACAGGCACTGGATTTGGAGAACTGAGCAGCTCCTCTCTTTAGAACAATGTCCCTTTCCAGGGAGATTGAAGGCAGGGGATCAAATAGGATGCTGGTGTGGGGGGAAGCCCCTCACAGCTCTGCCAAAGGCTGGAGCTCAGCGGTGGCCCCTGGGAGAGAACATTCCAGCGAGCTGTGCTGCACAGGGGGGGGTCTGTGTCCTGCCCAAACAGCCTGCTTTCCTTCCCAAAATGTCACACCAGGCCTAAAACCTTCCTAAAGTCAGGATATGTCCCATTTGTGGCTTCTTCCTCATCCACTCGCCCGGTTTCCTTGTCAAAGAGGGGAATTTGAGGGGTTTGATGTGACAAACCCAGGCTGGCTCTTTCATCCCCTGGTTATCTGCCAGGTGCTTCAGCAGATCTAAAACCCCCCGTACTCCAGGAGCTTCCCAGGCATCAAAGCACAGATGAGCGCTGGATAATCCCTTTGGTCTTCCTCTTTACGTTTGGGAAGAGGAGTAGGAGTTCTCTCTCCTCCTCTGTGGGGCGGGATGTCTGATGGCTCAGAAATCCCCGGATCACAAAGCTCTTCAGCATCAGCAGATCCTGAGGCACAGATCCAACCTCCCCTTTCCCCCGCCAGCCCCCTGCCCTCCCTCCTGCTCCTCTGTCCCTGCTCCACACCAGTGATGGAAACTGGGTTAACAGATGAAAGAGGAATTGCTAAAGCAAATATTTTCTTTCCAAAGCTCTCTTGGTTTGCTACAAACACAGGGAACCGCTGTGGAGAACCAACGTGGTTTGGAGGGTTATGGCTCCGCGGTGAAAGCAGGGACTGGGGACACACCACCCCTCGGAAACAACCCCCCAGCCAGAGGAATTCTGTGGCGGCAACAACAGAGCAACAAAACCTGAGGAGCAGCGAGTGTGAGATGTTCCCTTCACTTAACATCCACCCCGGAGCAGGGAGGACATAAAAATCCCCGCAGCCTTTGGGAAAATGGGGAAAAAAAAGCCGCGATTTGCACACCGGAGGGGCTTTAAATCCCAGGAGCGCTCCCGGCGTCTCTCTCCTCCCGAGCCGACGGAGCCGGGGCCGCCTCTCCAGCCCAGCTTCGCCGTGATTATAATCCCTAATTCCTGATTTTGCCACCTGCACTACGTTTCATGAAATTTTAAAGCTAATGCTCTGCCAAACTCCAGTGGCAGCGGAGCAGATGTTTAAGTGCAGCCGAGGATGAATAAATGATGGGGCTCGTGGCTGCACGGTGAAGGAGGGAGAGGCTGGATGGCTCCAAGTGGGGAGATAATTGATTTAAATGGCATTGTCCGTTGGAGTCACCTGGGATCGGCTCTTCGGGCACAGGCAGAACAGACGCAGCAATTAAAGGCCCTGCCCTGATGACAGCAGCGACTTGCCCGTGTGCACTCCCTGCTCAGCCTCTTCTTTTTGGCTGTTCTCTGCATTTGCACCTCGATATCAGGCAGGGAGAGGAAAATGAGGCTGGTTCTGGTCTTGGTCCACCTGTAGTGGAGATGAACCTGTTTGGGTTATCCCGGGATGCTGGGAAGGAGGTCGATGCCATATGGAAGAACCTGCAGAGGGAATATGTTAAGCATTAAAAAGCTTTTTAACTCCCCGGGGGAAAGGCATAAGAATCACTGATGATTGGACACCAAGTCCTGACCCAGCAGCACCAAATTGTGTTTTTTAATCACGAGATGAATCAGAAATGACAGTGACTCAGAAGCCCACGGGAGTTTTTGCTCTTCTCTGCTATAGACAACCCTGATGACCTCGGGCAAGTTCCTTCAGCCCTCAGCACAGCTCGGTCCCCTCCGAGGGGTGAGGTGCTCACCTGGCAGGGGGAAATAGATTCCCTTGGTAGACCCATGGAGGTGACTATTCCCTTGCTGGTCCACGAGCCCTCTCTCCCCAAAGGACCCTGCAGCTGGTCCTGCTCTGTGCCCTCCCAGAACGTGGGTTTTGGGGGTCAGTGCCACCCCTGCCCTCGCAAACAACAGCCCAGAGGTGGGACCTGCCTGAACTCGCAGCGTTTTTCACATTTCACCAAAACCAGCTCTTTTGCAACTCAAACCAGCCCTGCTGTGGCATGTTGGCTTTTCAATCATCTGCTTGCCTGTGGCTCCTGACAGCTCCTGGCAGGAGCTCCGTGCTGGAGTGCAGCCTCCCTCCATCACACCTGGCTCGGGAGCAAAGGCAAATCAAGCAAAGAGCAGGAGGCAAAGGATTCCTGCCCCTGAGGATCACTCTGAGGATGTTCACCTCCAGCCTGACCCAGGGCCGGGGGCAGAGGAGGGTGGACCTGACATGCTGCTGGCAGCAGTTTTGGGGAGCTCAGGGGTGCTGAGGTTCTGACCTGTGTGCAAAGGACACCGGGCAGAATGGGCTCCATCCTGCCTGTGGCTCCCAGGAGATGCTGCCACAGAGAAAACAGAGATGAAAGGGGTTTTCTAATAACAAAAGCAGCCTGTGGAAGCTGCAGGGAGGCTGCTGGTTTTCCAAGTCATGCTTAGTCATCATAGAAGAGGGTGGGTTCCTCTGCGTGCTGCGACGCAGCCGCCTCCTCAGGGGAGAAACCAGTCCCAGGTCCCAGGTGGATCCTGGCTGCTCCCACGGGCACAGGGATCCCTGGGGAGGGACTGACATCACATCTCAGCAGGGATGTGAGAGCAAGGGCTGCACCCAGAGCAGGGGATGGTCCTTGTAAAGATCCAGGAAATTCAGTGCCCTTCCCAGCCTCGAGTGTCACACGCCCTCGTGGTCCCCCCGGGAAGCTCTGCGGAGCCGTGTTGGAAACGCCGGCTCTGGGGAACACCAGCCCCGGGCGGGCACGTTCAGTGCTGATGTGATGGCAGCTCCTTGGGGAAGCTCCCAGAGCTGGGAGCTTCAGCTGTGCCCAAGGCAAAGAAACCATCCCTGGGCATTTCCCAGGCAGGTCCCACCAGCGGGGACAGGGCCAGGCCACCCCCTTGGCACGGCCACCTCTCCTCGTGCCAGCAGGAGCACCCGGGCACTAAATCACATCAGGGACCCCGCTGGGCTCCAAAAATAACCACTCGCTCTTCTCCTCTGTGTTGGACTCACCAGGCAGCTCCTGCTTTTTCCTTTCCTGCAGGTCTTGAGCTTCTTCAGACCAGCACTGGGCTTGTTTTCCCTGCGGAGGAGCTCCGAGCTCTGCAGCAAGGCACAGAGAGGACACAGACACAGGCTGTGTGTTTGCTGAAGCCCCAGCACAGGGGATGGTTAGCCCACGGCGGGAGCATCGATCCAGTACAGCCCTGCAGACACTCGGGGCACACAGGCTGTTTCCATCCCTCCAACAGCTGCAGGAAAACGCTCCCACCTCTGTTCTGGGAGGCAGCTGCAGCAGAGGGCTGGAAAATCCCCCCCGGGCAGTCCCGGCTCCGACACCAGACAGCCCCACGCAGGAGGGGGCAGCCCCTCGATCCACTGAGACACCTTCAGAAACTCCCTGTTCCCTCTCTGTCCTGCTCCGTGTGGGAAGATCCACATCGAGTCCATCTTGTCGCCCAGCCCGGAGCACTGAGTGCCACGTCCAGTCGTTCCTTGGACACCTCCAGCGATGGGGACTCCCCCACCTCCCTGGGCAGCCCCTGCCAATGCCTGACAGCCCCTTCCTTGAAGAAATTCTTCCTGAAAAGAATCCTTCCTCTTGCCTAGAGGACATCAGTGGAGAAGGGCAGGGTGTCCTGCAGCAGCACTGCCTCAAAGTTTTGGGGGGGACATCACCCCCCCCTCATTGTGGCAGCTCAGGGCTGGAGCGAGGAGGAGCTTGGGGGGAGCTCGCGTTCTTCAGGGGTTCAGGATCACCCCATTTCTCCTAGATCCCTCCGGAATGACAGATCCCCACACCTCCGGGTCTGCCTGGAGCTCCACGTGCCGAGGGGAGCCGGCTGCTGTCCCCCCTCCCCCGGCAGCTCCCTCCTCCCGCCGGCGCTGGGCCGCTGCCATTCCCTCTGGCGAGCGCTGCTCCAGCCTTTTTCCCCCCATTCAGGCTGACAACTGGGCCTCAGCATCAGCTGCTTGTTGCTCAGCATCAGCCTTTCAGCAAACAGCAGGTGCAAGCGGGGCGACCCCGGGCTGCGCTACAGTAATCCCGCGGCCCCCCCGCGCCCCCCTGGCTCAATATTGTCCCCTCGGCTCAAGAATGTTTTTGTCTCCCCTTCGCAGTTGTGAATTCTTGTATAGATTGAAAAGAAATCTCCTTCTGGTCTTGCTGCGGGGCCGTGGCTGGGAGGAGCGGGTGCCTCGCTGCGAGGGCGGCGTGGCCGGCACGGCTGTGCGGGAGGAGCGGGCAGCTGCCGCCGGGACACGGGCACGGAGCGGCCGGGACACCGGGACCGCGTCCTCTCTACCTGCACCCCTGGCCGCGGGTACACGTGGCTTTGTGGGCTCTCGCCCCCACCCTGGCAGAGAAACCAACTCATCACCCGCATGTGGGGACACAGAGGTGGCACAGCAGCAGGTCCCTTTCTGTCCCCCGTGTTTAACGCTGCCCGGGGGGGGGGGGTTGAGAGGTGAGTGGGGATCTAAACGGGCAGAGGTTTTGGAATAACACAGCGTGCTGGGCTGCAGGGGGGAGGCGGGAGCCTCCACAGGGATGGAGCAATGAGCCACATGCCGCTCAGGCACCGCCACAGGGCTTGGCCCCAGCGCGGCCCCCCACAGCGAAATCAGGACTCGCTGACACTTTCGTTATGTGTCACCCTGTACTGAAATCACTCAGAGCCCAGCACGGGAGGGAAACACCATCTCCCCACGGGTTGTCAAAGCCTCACTTCCCCTCATGGAGCAGCTCCCCAGGCAAGAAACCGCATCCTCTGCCCCACAAACACAGCCACGAGCACGCACACACTGCCCCCAGCACGGGCTGAGGGGTCCTGCCCGCCCCTGGAACAGGCAGTGACACAGATCAGCCGGGAATCCCACCTGGCAGCCCCAGCAGGGCTCAGGAGGGGGTTTTGGGTGGGAAAGCACGGCACCCAGGTCGCTGTGGAGGAGCAGGGACAGCCACTGCCCTGCCCAGGGTGCTGCGCAAACGCGGGGCCCTCTCCCACATCCTGCACCTCTTGGTGTGGTTTGACCTTTCTCAGGGAGGTTTGCTGTAATCACAGCCCAGCTGTGGCTCCCCAGGCCCAAGGGCTGGAAGCCCAGGCGGCCCCACTGCGGCCCAGACCCTCCACAGCAGCTTTTCCCTCGCAGACACGTTTTAACACAGAAGTCCCTGGTGTGTTTATACAGCAAACAGCTCCCTCACACTGTGGGCATCCCCAACACCACCAGCCCCTGCTAAACTCCAGTTTTGGACACAGCTTGGAGGAGCTGTGCTCCCTTCTGCCCCAGGCAGCACGAGGCAGGACCCCAGAGATGTCACAGCCCATCTTCTCCACTACATCTTTTACTTGCCTCAGGTTTCTGCATCAAACATGGGCAGTGCCCCAGCTCACCATGAGCCCAGTTTTTCTACCTCAGGTTGGCTTTCCCTGCAAACAGCTCCAGAGAGGACTCATGGAGCAAAAGGGATCAATTAAGGAACAAGTTACAAACGAGTTCCTGACAGCACTGGCGTGAGGAATTTACCACAGCTCCTTGCACGGGAGAAGCTGAAGAGAGCAGAGCTGCAGCGCCCGTGGCAGAAGGACACAGTCCAGCCCTTCCTGTGCCCAAAGCACATAAATCAACTGCTAACCTGTGACACTGAGCTGGCTGCTGCAGGACAGGGGCTTCACACAGCCAAAGAACCTGGGAACACCTCAGAACTCCTTCAGTGAAAGGTTCTGCTGGGCACAGGTTCTCCCTCCTGCCTTCCCCAGCACAGGCAGCATTTCTGCATTCCCAACAAGCTATGAGCCACTTCCTTATAGATCCCAGAATGACTGAGGTTGGAAAGGCCCTCCCAGCCCATGGAGTCCACCCTGTGCCTGATGCCCACCTTGTCACCCAGCCTGGAGCACTGAGTGCCACGTCCAGTCGTTCCTTGGACACTTCCAGGGATGGGGACTCCCGCACCTCCCTGGGCAGCCCCTTCCAATGCCTGACCACCCTTTCTGTGAAGAAATTCTTCCTGATGTCGAGCCTGAACCTCTCCTGGCACAGCTTGAGGTTACATCCTCTCTTCCTGTCACTTGCTGACCCTCCTTCCAAATCACACACTGCTGAAATAAATTATGTTACCTTCATGAATAATTCCCTCTGCTCTCCCTGCCTCCTCTGCTCAGTGGCCAGCCAGCTGCACACAGGGTAAGGATCTCGAAAAGCTGGGAAGATGCAGCACATCCAGCCCTGCCACCAGCCAAGAGCTGTCAGGCCAGGCCAATTTCCATCACAAATCCATGGCAGACACAGTTGGATCATGTCCAGAGGCACAGCACTCTGTGTGTTCCCTGTTAGCTCTGCTGCTCTCCAGAGGAGGCCCGAGGCACAGCCCACATGGATCACTGTAAATGTATTTATTTTAAATGAGAATTAGGGGGGAAAGCTGTGGTTGGGAAAACAGAGAGGGATAAGCAGGGAAAGCAACACTGTACCCGTTGCTGCCAGCTCAGAAACCAGAACCAGATCCTGCACTTCCCTCTGCTGGGACCCCCTCCAGGAGCACAGGCCACAGCAAAAGCTGATTTTATTAGTATAGCATAAATATTAACCCCCTTTTCCCCCAAGAAGCCCTCCCAACCCCTTCTTTCCAGCCCCTTCCCAAGGCAGCTGTGGAAGGGAGTGAGATTTGAATAACACAACCCTGCTGAGGATTTATGAATCTCTCCCTCCCCTGTCCTGTGATCCCTTAGACATTGATTCATTTTACCTTCAACTCCAAGGTGCTGATCAGCCTGGAAAGTGAAGGCATTATTAAGTATGTGTATTAAAATCAGGCCTCTCCAGTGGTAGAGGACAGGTTTAAAAATCTCCAGGTCCCTTCCACCTAGAAAAGCTATTTTTAACAATCTGAATCTCACACCACCCTGTTGTGGCTCTGACACTCCTTGGAGAAGCTCCTCCAGCAGGGATGGATCTTAACAATGATCCAGGAATTGTGCTGTGATAAAACATAAATGTCTGGTCATGGGAGTAAATTCTTACAGCCCTGTACAACAGTGCACTGAGTGTTTCCCATGTGCACCTCAAGGTCCACTTCCACAGCATTTGGTACAGCTCAGGATGATATTCCTGACAGGCCACCTCTGTCCACCCCCTGTCCAGAGATTTAGGCTGAAAATTAAACCCTGGGATGCTTCCCAGGTGAAGGCCCACCGAGGCTGAGTAAGTACCAAGTTTAGGGAGAAGGTGCTGCCACCAGGACTTGAGATGCTCTTTCTGGCTCTTTGTGACTTTCATAAACTCCTGGTGACTGAGAGAAGTGAATTTTCTTCAGTCTGTGGCATTTTAAAATTGTGTGTCAGCCTGTCCCCTGGTATGGACAGGTGTGAACTACAACCACAAAATACACACACTTCAAGGTGATTTCTGTTAAAACTACTGGGATTTGCCTACATGGCAACTGTTTAATTCATTAACTGTTCAATCATATTTCCAGCATCCCATTTTGATCTGTGATTCACTCTTTAAGGCTGGCAGGACACTGTGCGATTTCCTTTAACAAAGCCAAATCAACCTCAATCTGCTGTACAAAATATACACTGGGATCACCCCCAAACACCCTGCGCTCGCTCCAGCTGGAGGTGGAGTGTGAGGACAGGCTTTGCCAAAACAACAACCTTCAGAGAACAAAACCCCAAAAAGCCAACTCCTCCTGCCTGCTTCATCCACAGATGTCACAATACAGGTCTGATTGTCCCCAGAGCGATGGACGGTGGCACCTCTGAGGGAATGACTTGGTGGGAGCAGTTGGTCAGCACAGCAAGGACTCAGGGCTGCACCAAAATACCTCCAGAAGCAGCCGGAATAAGAAAAGAATTCTGCAAATAGAATGGAATTCTGCAAACAAACAGATGTGGGATTTAAGGAGGCTTTAGGAACCAGCACCTAAAACACTGCCTGTGCACAGATGATGCTGAGCATTGATGAGCAGCCACCCCACGATGTTGGTGTCGAGTTCCCAAAATGGAAGGCATTAATCCCTCTGCAAGGGCACAGTGGGAAGTTCCAGCTTCCAGTGGCAATATGCTAAATGCTAACTGGTTAATGGCACTTTTGGAAAAGAATAAAATTGCTCCCTCCTTGTCCATTTTGGCTTTTTTTGGGTGGACTTTCTGTGCTCAGCAGTGGCTGCACAGCCCTTGCCA